TTCACTAAGGCAATTACAGAGCTAGGGAAAGCTAATCAACAGCACGAGGAAGAAACCTGTCTGGATTTACCCATTTAATTTCCTGCCAAATAAGGGCTTGAATTCTTCCATATTGTCTAGCATCCTGTGGGGACTTTCAAAGAACAAGAAAACCTAGAGTCCTGTGCAAACTAAATGTCAAACTTGAATCTCTCACATATATTCAACAAATTTAAAGTTTAAAACATTGTTATAAAAGTAGTGAAAATTAATATTGTCAACATTTGTGTATTTCTCTGTATGTATTCACATATACATATATTTATAATTTTTTTACTGAATAAAGCAAGTATCTCCCCGTTATTGAGCCTTTAGACAATTGTTTTTTATGTAGCTATATGAATCATATTCTTTGAATGTTCCAGGAGTTAAACATTCACCAATTTGGGGGAATTTTCCCCTACTTTTTAATAATTAAGATGCTGCTGAGATTATTTTTATATATTAATCTTTGACTACATGTCTGATTATATTTCCTTAGGTTAACTTTCTAGTATTGGACTTTCTAGGTCAAACGGTATGAATATTTTTCCTGTATCTTGCCAAATTGCTTTTCAGAAAGATTAGGTCAGTCTTTGTGTCTATTAACAGCATAGGAGGGTACCCTTATGAACAGCATATGAGCTGGCCAACATTAACTATCATTGCATTTGCATTTTCAACAATTTCCATAGGTGAAAATTGAATATTATTTTTAAATGTTCTGTTTACCAATGTAAAAACATTTTCTTTTCATATTTTTAATTTTTACTTCTGTGTTTTAATTCTAGAATTGCCCATATAAACCTTGTGCCTGTTTTGTGTGTCAGAAGTGGATTGTGGAATTTTTCTTATTGATAGATAAGGTCTCTTTATATATGAAAGCTATACCGAGCTTTTGTTGTAATTGTTACAAGTAGGTTTTTGTTGTTGTTGTTGTTGTTATTTTTTTGAGATGGAGTTTTGCTCTTGTTGCCCAGCCTGGAGTGCAATGGCACTATCTTGACTCACTGCAGCCTCCCCTTCCCGGGTTGAAGCGATTTTCCTGCTTCAGCCTCCCAAGTGGCTGGGATTATTACAGGTACCCACCACCATGTCCAGCTAATTTTTGGATTTTTAGTAGAGACAGCATTTTGCCATGTTGGCCAGGCTGGTCTCGAACTCCTGACCTCAGCTTGATCTGCCTGCCTCAGCTTTCCAAGTGCTAAGATTACAGGCGTGAGCCACCACACTTGGCCCACAAGTAGGTTATTTAGGCTATAATTTGTCTTTTAATTTTAATTTTGTTTTTAATATTCCATAAGTTAATTTAGTCAGATTTATTGTTTTTTTATAACTTGCTCAATTGCTCCTGTGCCTATAAAATCTTCCTCTAACTCAATTTTGATCCATCTTCTCTTTGTATTTCTAGCTCAGTTTTTTTAAGCATGTAATCCTTGCCTGTCTGTCTAAATGTTATTTTTGTATATGGTGTAAAATAAAGATCTTATTTTTTTCTGTAAGAGTAATTCTAGCAACATATTTTAGCAGTGCATGGCAAGTCCCTCTTGATTGTACTTCTTAGCTATTTTCATTGGTTAGTTATTTTACTGTGTAACATAAATTACCCCAAACATTTATCATCTCTGTTTTTATCTGCCAGGAATTCAGGAGCTTAGCTGGGTGGTTCTGGCTTAGGTCTTTTAAAGGATTATAGTTAAGATATTAGCTGGGGCTGCAGTCATCTGAAGGCTTCTTGGGGGCTGGAGCAACAGTCCCTAACCTTTTTGGCACCAGGGAACGGTTTCATGGAAGACAGTTTTTCCTTGGACCTGGGGGTGGGGGGATGGTTTCAGGATGAAATTGTTCTACCTCAGATCGCCAAGCATTTGTTAGATTTTCATAAGGAGTGAGCAACCCATATCCCTTGCATGCGCAGTTCACAATGTGAGAATCGAATGCCACCATTGATCTGACAGGAGGCAGAGCTCAGGCAGTAATCCTCATTGGCCCACTGCTCACCTCCTGCTCTGTGGCCCAGCTCCTAACAGGCCATGGACTGGTACCAGTCTGTGGCTGGGACTGGGGACATCTGGGCTGGAGGATCTCTTCCACAATGGCTCACTCATATGCCCATTGGTAGAAGGGCTCAGTTCCTTGATGTCTGTTGACAAGTAGCCATAGTTCCTCACCGTATGGGCTTTTCCATAGGGATGATTAAGTGTCCTTATAACATGGCACCAGCCTTCCACCAGAGTGAGTAGCCTGAGAGAACAAAGCAGGAGGAGTCACAGTGTTTTTTATCACCTAGCCTTGGAAGTGACATTCCATCATTTCTGCCATGCTCTACTGGTGACACCAAGGAACCGTGATATAATAGCCACAAAATTATGAACATTAAGAGGCATGGGTCACTGGGGGCTTCTCAGAGGCTCATTACCAAACTCTTCCTCTGAGTGGAAACTTAGAATTATATCTCCCCTTGTATAGATGTGTATTCAGTATCATTTTGTCATTTATATCCCAAAGCCCAAAGGTGGCTTTTGGAACTTTCTTCTTCACTTAGTTTTCTGCCCTATAACCTTATCTGATTCTTAAATTTAAAATCAAGTGATGTTTGTCATCTGAGGCTTTTATGCCACTGTCATTACAATTAGCTCAGAGACAAAGTATTTATCCTTTTAATTCCCTCATCTAGTATTTATTGACCATTGGTTTTGATAAAGTAATAAAAAATATAAGTTGCAAAGAAATAGAAATTAAAGTTTTTTATACATGTACATACACACACACTGAATAGTAGGAAAGAATCCCAAAGCTTTAGGGCAGAGAGGGTCCCAGAGAAAGGAAGAGACTTGTCCAAGGCCACACAGTGATATAAAGTTAATGAAAACCCAGATCTTCCATCCACCTTTTAGCCTGACTCATTCATCCTACATTTATGAAATACTTAAAATAAAACTGGATGGCTCTGTGTTTAAAATTCGTATGTACAGAATGGAGAGTGATTATTCAGCAATGGTTTGGAGACTGGAGGTCTTGCTCTGCTTCTGTCCATTCTCTTTCCTGAAGTTTGGCTGTGGCTCTTCCCAGTCCACTCTTAATTGGATTTGTAGGAGCCAGAAAGTGCTGAGCACATACACAGTGTGGTAATTGGGCAGTTTCCTGGCTCCCCAGAGCCTCTGACTTGTTTGTGGATTGTGATCCATAATTCCCTGTATAATGCATTTTCAGAAAGCAAACTGGCAATCAAATGGTAATTGTTTCCATCTGTGTGGATTTTGCATTTCCCAAGACTGCCTGGCAAGGAGGAGGTTGGCTCTGAGAGGAGTAAAGGGACCTGGAATTGGACGTCAGGACTGCAGCATACCATGGATGCGGTGGCCCCAAGCTCACATTTTCCAGTAGAGTCCTAATTTGAAATCTTTCATCTGGTTGGCCTTATAAATAATCCAAATACCCTAGAAATTCCACCACCTAAGCCATATTTTCTAAAGTGTTTCTTACTGCTGAAAGAAGCACAGACTCTCTGTTAGACTGTTGCCCCAGTTTTGATTTGAAAAATTGATCATTGAACTCGTGGAAAGGAGACTTTTGCTGCTGCTGCTGCTGTTGTTAAATGAGCTGTTGTTAAAGGATGGGTTTAAGAATGGTGGAACAGTGCAATTTGGAACACATCAAATTAGAAAGAGCTGACCCAATATCCCGTGTCTCTGAGGAAATGGAAGCACTCTCTCTCTAGCTACTCATGCAGGTATATGTGCAGGCATTTGGTCAGATTCCTCTTCAGTGTCCACTAGGTAGAGTGCATGATGCTGGGAACTCAGCTAAATGTAACGTGGACTCTCAGAGACTTCACAGCCCACAATAAGGAGATGAGGTATGGATATATTTCATAATACAAATTTAAGAGCATATGTCAGAGGATATAAAGATCTCCCAACTGGGAAGATCTAGAGAGATTCCAGTTCACTCAGCCCTCACCAAAAAGAATATACTAATTGGCATCTATTGCTGTGGGATAAGCCAACCCAAACATAGTGACTTAAAACTACCACTGTTTATTTCTTTTTAATTTCATGATTTGAGTGCAGGTGTGGCTCCTCCCTGTTCCACATGGCGTCAGCTGGGGCGGCTCATGGGGGCTGGAGGATCTGGGATGGCTTCATTGACATATCTGTCACCACAGCTGGGAGGGCTAAGAAGGGTGGGGCTGTCTTTCTTGCAGGGTAACTGGGCTTTGTTACATGGCAGTTTAGGGTCAAAGAGAGTGGAAGCTGTCAGACCTCCTAAGGCCCAGGCCCAGAACTGGTACAGAGTCACTTCCACTGCATTCTACTGATCAGAGCAAGTTACCAGGCCAGCCCAGATCAAGATCCATCCCTTTATCAGAGGAGTGGAATGCACACACAGAAATGAAAGAACCTCTGGTGGCCAACTGTGCAATCTATGACGTTAACGTAAAGAAAATTATCCTAAAAGCTGAAAAATGAGATCTTACTGTCTAAACTAGCAGTTTATGGTCCCTAGTGAGGACTGGCTGTGCTTTCCTAGTTGCCTAAGTGTGTGAGCTTCATATGTCAGTCTCAAAGGGTACAATTACCCACCTCTGCATCCCTCTTTTTACACTGTCCAGCCCAAGATTAGATAAAGATGATTTCTGGGAAGCTTACATTGTGAGTCATTCAGCTGGGGTCCCGGTGGCCTTCCAGGTTTTTTTAATTTAAAGATAGGGGTCTCACTTTGTTGCCCAGGCTGGAGGATAGTGACTATTAATAAGCATGATATTGTATACTGTAGCCTGAAACTCCTGGACTCAAGCAATCCTGCTTCAGCCTCCTAAGTAGCAGAGATTACAGGCATGCACCACCACACCCAGCTCACTCCCAGCTTCTTATCTGTCCCTTTCACCTTTTTTTCACCACCTTTGCTCTTTACCAGTTCCTTGCCCATGATTTCCACCCTCCTTACTGAGTTTTCCACCTCTCTCTCTCTCATTGCAGGCACTAAAACAGGTGCAGATCTTAATGATGGTACTTGTGAGCCTGGACTGGCTTCCCCAGCCTCCTACATGAACCCCTTCCCAGTGCTCCGTCTCATCGAGGACTTGAGGCTGGCTTTGGAGATGCTGGAGCTTCCTCAGGAGAGAGCAGCCCTCTTGAGCCAGATCCCTGGCCCAACAGCTGCCTACATAAAGGAGTGGTTTGAAGAGAGATTGGTGAGTAGTCCCGTGGCCTGATTGGGAACCACTGGGAAATGCAATGGTGTAGCCCATGGAGTGCCACTGCTGACTGGGGCTATTGACTCATCTGCACACCTTCCAGCCTTTTCTTCCATCCCACTTAGCCAACGATGCGGGGTGGCCCTTCTCATCAAGGAGTGTAGAGCCTAGTCAAGCAACTTAAGCTATGCCCTCTGACCTCCCGTGGTCCACAGTCATCCTCTCCTGAGGAAATCCAGGGCCAGAGAAGGGTAAACATTGAAGATTTCACACGCACAGACCCCCTCGAATTGCATGTACTACTTACTGAGTTATAATCATGGCTGGGATCTCTCTCCTCGGCTAGATCCCACTGCCCCTTGTTTCTTACCACAAACTAAAGACTGGGTTACCTTATTGATTTAAAAAAAAAATGCTTTATAAATTTCTTAGAAGAAAATATTTTCTTAACATTTTTGCATTTCTTTGATAAAAGGCCAAACCTTAAAAAATTAGTTTATTTGTATTCTTCTGTATGGCCTTTAAACTTCTGACCCTATATCCTATCTGGAAAAAAATGCATTTCTTATATGCATATTCACATATGCAGCATTTTATTTTTGAGACTGGATCTCGCTCTGCCACCCAGGCTGGAGTGCAGTGTGGCTTCATCGGTTCTCCCACCTCTTGCTCCCAGAAGTGTGCACCTCTGCAGAAGTGCACTGCCACACCCGGCTAATTAATTTTTTGTTTTGTTTTTGTTTTGTGGAGACAGGGTTTCCCTGTATTGCCTGGTTGGTCTTGAACTCCTGGCTCAAACAATCCACCCACCTCGGCCTCCCAAAAGTGCTAGGATTCTAAGCATGAGCCACTGCACCTGGCCAGTATTTTACTGATATACTTAAATTATAAAAATAACACAAAACAAAATTGTAAAGATTTTTATTTGTACAAATTTGTGGGGTACATGTGAAATTTAGTTACATGTATATAATGCATAGTGATCATGTCAGGGTATTTAGGGTATCCATTGCTCACCAAAATAGATTTTTAAAGGATAGGCTAAAAAACAGCTCCAATATTTTTTTCCCATATACCGAGAAATCACCTTGTGCCCATTGGGTGGGGCCTCTCCCACTTGAGACTATTCATATTCTATGCTGTTATTTTCTATTAGGATTTTAGTGGTTTTCTTATCTATTTGAATGATCTTCTCTTAGCCCTTTGCTTTATTTGTAGCATATATTTTCCTCTCTCTGTTTTTAAATGTTTAGGGTGCTTTTGAGACACGGAATTTTAAACAAGTGTACTTCACTCTATCAGTCTTTCCTTGGTTTCTTGTTTTCCTTTTGGCCCTAGCAAGGCCTTTCCCAACCTCAGAACAAATAACTGTTCACCTGTTTCTTCCTCTAGTAGGTTTATGGCTTGATTTTTATCTTACGGTTAACTCTAATCCATCAACAATAGTTTTTAGTGTTTGGTATAAACACAATGAATCTTATTTTTAAAACAGTTTTTGGAAATTTATTAAAAATATGTTTGATCCAAAGGCAGTTGACAATCAGTTGATTTTTTTCAAGATGCCTTGGTAGAAAACAGCTTGCCTTCAGATTTGCAGTTTTGTGTTGGGATTATGTACAATGGTTTAGGGAATGCCTTCCTTTGGAGAGATTTCCCTAAAAGAATTCATAAATCTTCTAGAGTAATTATGGCCGTCACTAACCTATCAAGGGCGAAGCAAGTACTCTTAGGGGGTCAGAAGTTCATATAAACATTCCAAGATGTAAGGGCTGTATGCTAAGGTTTTAATTCTGGAAAGAGATAGCCTGTCTGTATTTTACATCTTGCAGACCTAAAGTCATTTTACGATCAGCCCGTATACACATTCCACACAAGGTCTTAATCTGTATGGAAATAAATTCAGACTGGTGAACAAATTCATCCGGTGCTTTAGATTGGTGATTTTAGTTAGAAGTTGTTACTGCTCAGATTTTGGTCTGTGGCTCAGCAGCTTTCTTACCCCTAGTAGCTTGTGAAAAATGCAGAATGTGGGCTCCCATCTCACACTTGCTGAACCATCTCCGGATGACTCATAAGCACGTTAAGTTTAAAAAGCACTGTTTTCAATCATGGAGACTCACTTGAATTTTTTTTTTTTTTTAAATCCCATGTGGATTAGGATTGGAATTGAAACTAGTAAAACGGTTGAGGGATTAGGCAGCACTGCGCAGCGCCTTCTCATGCATGGTGTCTGTGCCTCCCTTTATTTGTTCCCCTCTCCTCTGTAGACACACTGGCATTGTCACACACCTAGAGTTCCTGCTTGGCCACGACACTGGCCCGACGTGATGCAACTCTCTCTCATGACATCTCTATCAGTTGGGATATTTTGGCCAGTGAAGTGACGTAAGCAATAACAAGATAGACCACAAACAAGATGTCCAGAAGACAGACAGTCCCAGGTTTAAATGAGTGGCTCTGAATGACCTCATGGGCACTGGTTCTTCCTGTCTTTTTGCCCTGCCATCCTCAAGGGGTGGTTTTTGCCCAGGCATGTCCCATAACAGTCACAAGATCGTCACTAGAACTACAGGCAACATGTCCTTACAAGACACAACTATGCAATTACATGCAGAGGTAGGGAGCAGTTACTTTAGTGTGTTTTTTTTTGTTGTTGTTATTTTTAATCAGAAGGGAAACTCATTCTCTGCAACCTTCTAGCAGACTTCCCATTTAGCCCCAGTGACCAGGATTTGTTCACCCATGCATAGCTGCAAGGGAGGCTGGGAAAGCAAGCAGTTGCACTGCCATAGAGGGAGGTGGACTCTGTCAGAAAGGAATGATGATGAAGTTGGGGAAAGCTGTCTTTCAGGAAGACAGCTCGGAGTGACTGCCACAAACTCTGTTAGGTTTGAGTTTACTCTTGTTGACTGACAAATTCTTTCCATGTTTTCTCAATATGTTTTCTTTTTAAACTTGAGTTTCTAAAGAAAAGAATATGATTGGCCCAGTTAATTATTTTTTAGTGAAGTCATCCAGATCAATGAAGAAGTGCTAAGTGTAAAATAGATAGGAATTAAAGACTCTTAATTTATTCATAGTTCTGGATGCACACCTTAGGTCAGGTGTCTACCCCAGGGCAAATCATCTGTGAGCAGAGGGGAGGGATTATGTGATGGGAAATGTGGTCTTGTACTGCTGCTCCTCATCAGGGCTGCAAATCTTCTGGCACTGGGCATCTGTGGTCCACCAGAAGAATGGGCTGCTAAGAAGCAGGGGTCAATGTGGAGGAATAGTCATGGTTAGAATAGGACAAATAGCAGACTAGTCCTGGGCTCTCTCTTTCATGTTTTACATGAAAAGGGCACTCCTAGTCCGAGTGCCTCCAATTGGGCAGCTGTGTCTTTGTTATAGGGCTGGTGCCTTTCCTGCTGGGTCCTGGCAGAGCTGAAGCACAGCTGGGCCAGCACAGTTGGCAGCAGTAGGAGCGCTGTTGGCCAGGACTCTGCCAGGAGATGGGTATAAAACAGAGCAGACTTGTCCTAAAGCCCAAGTGGAGCAGACCTGCCCAGGAGTCAGTGGCACTGGGTTGTGAGTGAGTTTCCCATGCTCCGGGGTCTAAAATAGCATCCTGCCCCTTGGCAGTAAGTATGAAGAGAAGTGGGCTCCAGGCCTAGAAGGGCACGTGTGAGGCTTTCTTAATGGGGATACCCTCTGGGGCCTCAGTGAGGTAAGGACAAAAGGGTCTGGATTCCTTTGGTTTAGGAGCAGTATTATTTCCCCTGGAAAGCTGATGAATGAGGACCTCACATAGAGGGTGTCTTGAGGTCCAAAATGAGCTGGGACCTGGCCTGCAGCAGAGCAGTGTTACCCTCAGGAGATGGGAAGGCGGTCCTTTACATCTGGAAGACAGAGCCAAGCTCAGGGTTAGTGCTCATGGAGGATGACACTGAGGCCCTGGCTGGAAGGCTGAGGCAGCTCTGTTGTGATGGGAACAGAGCTGAGTTCCAGAAAGGGGCAGACTCCTCCTTCTCTGTTTACTATGGTGAAATGTAGGATGATGCTCTGAGAAGGGTGTGGTTATTTCAGGTCAGGAGCCCCAGAACCCCACAGGTGGTCCTGAAGCCCAGAAAGGGAAGCAGTGCTCATCAGTGACCCTGGCATGTACTAGGGGCAAGAAGGAGCTGGTGCCACCGTGACCACTTCCAGGACTTGGGCTGTGCATTGAGTGGGGCTTTCCCGTGGTCTGAAAGGGGTGTCTCTACCCTGCTTGGCTTGGCTGGGTGAAGGTTGGTTACAAAGATCTAAGGCTAGGTTGGGTGGTGGAAACCTTAGAGAGGATAGCCAGCCAGATTCAAATGGGCTCTACAGGGCTGGGGACAGCCACCTCGCTGGGAGGAGCAGACCCAGGCTGGTACAGTGTTGATTCATGTCCCAGGTCTTTGGGTGATGCCCAGAAGATACCACAGCCAGCAGAGTCTCCATATGAAGTAGCCATGGGTGCTTCTCCAACAGTATGTTGTGTCCACCCTTCATTTCCTACCAGCCAGCCAGTCTGTTCTGCTGTTTCACACACTGGGTATGGGCCAAGGAGATTCTTGGTGAAGGTTCAAGATGAAGTCAGAGAAAGGGTAGGCAAAGCCAGCAGCAAAGTGAAAGCAAGTCAAGGAAAAGCTCAGGCTCCAGGGTAAGGGGTAGTGTTGGCAGAGAACCTATAGAGAAGGGCTGTACTCTGGGACCTCTTTGGAACTAGGGTACACAGTGTAGGCTTGGCCATCCCGAAGGAACCCAGGCTTTTATTTGCGAGGTTGTAAGAGTCCTAGTCAGTGTGCTTGAGTGGGTGAAAGCAAATTGAACCAGGGTGAGGGAGTATGGGAGGTAGGAAGGAGTTAAAAGGCCAGGGTTCCACCCTGGTTCTGCCACTCACTTGTATGAGCCTCTTCTTCACTTCCCTGGGACTCAGTTTCCCTACTGGATAACAGCTGAGTCTGAAACTGCAAGATCTGGCCAAGTATTCCAATTCTGCAGTTTATTCTAGGGGCTATATGGAGTGGCCTCTTTGTAAGCACCAGCCTTTGCCTCCCTCAGTCTTGACCTCTTGATTTCCAAAGTATGGAGACAAGAACCTCTCGGTTTACTGCTGCCCTTATGTTAGGGCTTGATGGAGACCCACCTCTCGAGCAGCAAATCTGTTTACCATAGTGAAAAACCTGAGGAGTTGCCCTCCTGAATGAGCAACCTCTGCTGGGGCCAGCTGGGTTAAGTGCTCACCTCTGACAGCCCAGCAACTCAGTTCAGGTGCCCTCAGTTACCTTTTTAACTAGTTTCCCAAGAAACCCAGGCCCAAGCTGGGGAACAAAGCCACCCCCCTTCTCAGCTACAAACCACCTTGTCACA